ATTTCAGTTCATTGCACTGTTGCAAGAAACGTGGCATCTTTTTCCCTATCCACCCTACCTCTACTGAAGTATTAGACTAAATAACAATGCTAAATAATGTGACTAAAAAAATCTTCCACAAAGGTCTTAGCAGACTAGCTAAAAGGCTTATAAATAGTTGCCTCAAATACACACAGGTATGGATCATAAACATATAACCATTTTCTGAAATTAAAACATTGCACAAAGCTTTGTTTCATTACCAGAAGTGCAATTATCTGAGAGTGACAATTGCTGGTTTGGCTGCATTCCCAGTCTGCAGGAGAGGTAACTCCCTTGCAAGGATATACAGTGAAACAGGTGCAAAAGAAGACATGAAAATTATATGTGCATATATCCCTAGAGGAGCTGGATGGCATGATTCATATTTGCTTCCTGGAGATGTTCAAAACTTTCTGAAAATAATAGTATAAAGCAAACAGAAGTGTTCCCTGGCTAAACAAGTAACTGGCCCAGAAAAGTCTAGCACACCGAGTGTGAAATGAAGGAGTGCACCACCTTATCCAAGTTAAATTCAGTGTTTTGCCAAGTCTCTGAGGCTGATCCTGAAGGACAGGATGAAAAAAATATTAAAAAACAAAAGTATCCACTGCATGGCCCTCAATACCTGATAATGTTATGTACTGGCTCAGATGCTGAGGGTCATGTTCAGACCACATAAAATACAATTTAAAAATATAAACAGAAAAGGAAAAGGCGTGGGATGTGTGACAAAGTTTAAAATATTTGAAGAATACTGTTTTCCTAGTTTGGTGCTAGGAAACAATGGCAAGGAAACACAAATCCAGAAGTCATACATATTTCTGAATTTGCCATCATCAGTGAATTATCTTAAACCCACCCTTGCCCTGAACATTGATCCTTACCAGACATACCCACCTTAGATAATTTGTCTTCCTCTATTAAATCACACAAATATTGCTTTTGTTTTTAATAGAATCAGAGAATCATTTAGTTTGGAAAAGACCTTTAAGATCATCGAGTCTAACCCTTATCAATATTTGCTATCCAATTTTTTCACAAAGAAGGAAAATCATCACCATAATTCAGCAGGCCAGGGTAACAATAGGAATAGAAGTCCTGTGGGTTGTGTTTAACCAAGCTACAAATGGCAGAATGGAAAATCTGGATCTCACCTTGACTCATGCTTTATTAAATCACAGTACAGCTAAACCATAGTCAGTGTTTAAACTTTGGAGAGAATCACACCCCAGGCAGCTTTCTAGCACACCTGTTGTGTATTTCCCATCTTTCTTTTAAAAAACAACTGCACACAAACCTGCTAAATATGACTGCAATACAGTCAACATTCTGACTGATGACAAAGGTCAGAGGCATTGGAGTTTTTTGCAACTTACTATGGCTAAGAAGTATACAGATGACTTTCAGGAGAAAAGGATACTTTCCCTATTATCTTCTGAATTATTCTGTATGTCAACGAGTTCCCCAAAGGCCTTTTTAAAGTATCTCCTTTAAATTGCATGAATGTTAACTCAGAAAGAAACGTGAATAACTTGCAGCAGCAAGACTTCAGCCGTCTAGCTTGTTACATAAAAGAGTTAAGTTAATCTTACAGCAAGCTGCAGCTACTCTGCTCCTGCTGTATCTGATGTACGTTTGAGAATGTTTCAGAGGATTTACTCTTTTAGTACCTGTTTGTTCTTTTTTAGCGAGTGTAAGATTATGGGCTTTAAAGAGAGATAATAATTCAGGAACGCTATGAGTTCTCCTACAAAGGCTTTAATCAGGAGCATGACATTTCTTTTCGAACAAAAGCAACTCCTTAATTTCTTCCTCCTGGAAGGAAATCACTTCCAGAATTTAGCTTAATTTGTTACTGGATTTGACTAACACCCTAATCCTCATAACCAATTTTTGCTTACTTCCATGACCTGTTATCAATAGAAGTTTCAATATTACGAAAACATTACACTTTCCAGGCAGGTGGAAAGAAGGAAAGACTTTTAAGATAGGTTTACTCTGCCATCAAAAAGAGAAATGCATCACTATATGTGAATAATATATGCAAATAGAAATAATGGCATGGACTTTATCCTAGGTCTGCCGCTCAGGGAATTTATACAGCTCTCCCTGACACAAATTTCCATGGTTTTACTATGATTGGTATTTGAACTAGCAAGATTAAAATTTGTTCAGGAATGTCTTCAGGCTGTAGTATCTATAGTTGAAGCTCTGTCATGCTCTTTCTAACTGCAAGCTAAGATCTTTCTACATAAAGCAGCAACTGGGATTTTCACAAATGGCCAAGACTGCACTCCACATACACTAAAGTGCACATTAAAAAAACCCTAAACCAAACCATAGTGAAACTGCAATTAAATAAATACTGGAATGGAAACTAATCAGTGAGACAACAAAACTGGTCTCTTAACTGTCTCTCAGAAGAATATTGAGGAAGAGATGACTATTTGAACAAAACTCCTCTCCAAATCCACTTTCTCTGGTTCATCTCAAGTATCATCTCAGTCTGAAAACCTAGGAAAATATTCTGGGCACTAGCCAACCAGCAGATCAAAAGTAACAGTCATGATGCCTTAAAGCACTTGTCAGTCTCTCAGACTATGGCATAAATCTTCTAGGACCTCTGTAATCACCTGCAGGGTTGACTTTGACTCAAGACCAGTGAAATAAAAGCAAATCCTGAGGCAAATGTTCTTCACCCATCAAACTTTGGTTCATTTCCTCTATTTTAAACTTATAAGTCACAGTGACATTTCTGATACCCAAACCATGCTTTTTTTTCTGCATCTACACTCTCCTGGTTTCACTGTCATATAGCTACTCTCCTTTCATGTCTCCCATTCCTTGAGTACACTGCCACACTGTTATTTAGGACTGATGGCTCCCTTTCCTATTCTGTCCCTTCCATGAACTTAAACCATCTGCCTCTAGAAATACAATGCAAATGTAATATTCATGGATTATATTTTACATGTAAAGGTTCTCTAGCAGCACTGTAGGTCAGAAGGTAAGAAATAAAGCAACTAAGGACTGAGGATACCTGCAAGAAAACCCTGAAAAAAATATGTATTTTCTCACCTAAACAAAGCCAACCAAACAAAACCACAAAACCCACAACGACAACAGTAAGGAAGGCAAGTAATTAAACATTTGGTCCTCAAAACTCATTTTCAGTAAATAAAAAATAAATTACATTGGGGTGGATTTTGAACAATTATGTCACTGCCCCAGCCTCTGAATTTTTGTCAGAAGGTCAAAAGCTGTAAATAAAAGTAAGCATTATCCCCAGATTCTCATCCAAACATTACCTAGTTTAAAAACAATTGGCTCTACAGAATTGCAGCAGCATTTCTGCAAGCTTTTGGGTGCCTTGGGGGGGGGAGTTGAAAAACCATTATAAATTGCAATTACATCTAACATCACCTTCCTCTTTTCAGTAGTTTCGTGTTTTATCTTTTGTCCTTTTTAATAGAAACTCCTGGCTTTTACTGGGACAGTAAATTCATAACAGTGTTTTCAAAAATATTGTTTCACTAACTCCTTAGAGGAGTTGGTTAGGCAAAGTATGAACCTCTCCATTCTTCTATTTATATATCCTAAAGCCAGAAGCCTACACTGCTGACTGTAAGCCAGTCTTTTGCCTCTGATATTTCCTAGGTATGTTTACAGCCAGATTAGAAACATCTGCTGGACCAGGCAGATTTATCCACAGTTCAGCGAAAGCTCTTAATCAGATTCAATTTCCTCTTGTCCTGGTCCCTTTAACTCTCTTGAAACTTCAACAATTCATCTCTTCCAAACCTGAAAATAACATCTCATTCCGGGATTCAAAACCCTTAGATCCATTCCTGCAGCAAATATAAAAGTTCTCTGCACCTTCAAAGGTCTCCCACAGAAACATTCTGTCTATCCTACATGTAGCTCAAATCAACATCAGATGGCAGATTGTTTTCTGTCCTCCTTCCCTATTTTGTCAGCAATTAGATAATAATGTCTCATTCTTCTTGCATCTATTGCCTGTGGTTTGAATCTTTTACTTCTGATGAATTTCTCTACCTGACATTCTAAATCCTACCTAAAAATCTGTTTCTTCTACTGCAGCTTCAGCTCCCCAGTCACAAACATATGCTGACCATGTTCAAGTTATTACTTTCTCATTGCATTCAACTCTTCAACAGGTATCATCTAATTTTACTTGCCCCTGTAAAAATATCTTTTCCTAGCGTCAGACTGAAAGACATAGGCCATACATTTCACTGTAATGATAGCAAACCCTGTACACAGAAAACGAACACCTAAGTCTAGGTAAGGGAAACAGGTATTATTCTGTAGTAAGGCAAACAAATGTGATTACGGAGTTCTTACAGTCTAATTGGAATTATTGTGACAATTCACATTCTTTCTCAAATTTTCAGCTCTCAAAGGTAGTTGACTCTGTAAGAACCTTTCTTTTTTTAAATTTTGTTTCAGACGAACTTTGACAAGGAACTCAATCTTTTTTACACAGTGTACGACTCCCACAGCTCTAAGCCAACAATATCTAACCTTTATGTACATTGGAAATAGCTTGGAAACATGACCAGAATGAAATTGAAGGGCTTAGCAAGCAAAAGAGCAGATTAAAATAAAAAAAGAGTCAAATTTATTTAAAGGTATTTTTAGCTATGCTGACAATTTTGGTTGTGTGACTCATACCTCGGAAAAGCTTTGAGGTTGTAATAGTCAAAGATAGGTACTTTCTGATTCAAGAAACCAGACACAACAAATCTATTCACTGAAAATCCTGTAATGGGTGCACACACATCTACAGTCTTCAACAGCAGAATCATACAACTCTAGATCTTGCAAAAAAGGGAGGCAGGCCCCAGCCCCTGGCTCTTCAGCTCTTTTACTTATTCGTAGGCTACCCCAATGCTCCTCAGAGGGTGGCATTTATCAGTAGCCCTGCCCAGAGGCAAACCAACCCAACCAGCACTCACCACCGGACGATGCACATCCCAGAACGCTCGCTCCTGGCTGTCAAGAATCTTCCTCTCTATCTTGTCTCTCTTCTTGTCAACCCTGTCAATGTTACATGATATTTAAAAGGAACAGTGTTGATGACAGTAATTTTAAACATAAATGTCCAATGGCTTTTCCCTCCCTTCTGCCTTCAAAAACATGCAAAATTAAAGCTCCTCATCTTCAAAGGAACTTACTTTGCTTGTGCTTCAGCTTGCATAAAAATGAACTCCCATTTCCGAGCAAATGCTCGCTGTAGCCTGGCCAAACTCTCCTGAAAATACATCACAATTTTAGTGGGTTAGGTTGCAAGTTATTTACTTTTTAATAGATTTTGGCTTATCTTTCCCTCCTCCCCTTGCCTCCCCCTACCTCCAAGATGTAATACAAGTGATGACATTTATGTCAGTGCAAATGTACCTTACTTATCCAATATAAACTTTTTGCTTGACACCAAATGAGATGGAATACTAGATCTATCTACTTTTGAATGCCTAAATCATTTTAGTTTTGAAACTCTGATAAAAATGGTGGACACAACCTTCAGCAGAATGTGAGATTCCTGAAGCATTTTTATATACTGAGTGTTGGCTCAGCAATTTTGTAGCAATAGAAAGAAACATTCTTGTTTTTACAGTACCCAATACTGAAAGAAAACAGCAGTAATTTCCATACTGAATGATCCATATGACAGTTTCCATCAGTCATCTATACAAATGGTTTCCATGGAACAATGTTGTCTGCCATTTTTGGTAATACAGGAATCTTCCAAGACCTCCACAGCTATCTTCATTTTTAAAAAATGCAGACTATAGTTCTTCACTACTGTGTAGGAAATGTATATACCCTATAACCTACTAATAGTAACAGGAAGAGGATTTGTAAAATCTTAGCAAAATTCTTTCCTCCATTGATGCTGGAACATTTTCACTGTCTGCAACAGAGCTTTTCCAATTTCTCCCCAGCTTAAACAGCATCAGCATGCAGCCTGTAACATGAAGAAGGCTGAGGTTCTTCCTCCAAAAAGACCCCCATTACCATAGTGCATTGCTTTTACTGAGACTAAATAAAAATTGACTGTACATTTCCTAACAAGAGATGTGTTGGTTGAACTGTATTCCTATGCATTGCAATGTATCTCTATGCCATACTTACTGAAAACAAAGACTGCAGAGAATGAAGATGAGTCTTTCTAGAGATCTTGTCAATACCAGTAAAGGTTGCCATGGATTGTATGCCGGAGGGGAATTTTCTAAGGCATGTAAGTATAAAATTATATATACCCCACAGTGCAGTACACTGGTAAGCAAGCTTGTGCCAGAAGAAGCAATAAAGTGTGTCAGCATGGTGCTGCGGCTGGAGTGTTTGGTATGTTGAGAGGCCTGGCTGACTATCCTGCTATCAGGTCACAGCAGCACAGCTGGACAGCTTTCAGTGCAGAGCCAGGGCCGTTTGTGATTTTTATGTTGACATTCTCATGAAAAATTCAGGAATTTGGGGGGATAGAGATGGAATTCAAGACATCTCTCTCTTTATCAAATGCCATCCTCATCAGCTAATTGAACTCCCTCTTTTTCAGGCTCTTCCTGGCCCCAATTACCTTACCTTGCCTGGGGCACTGCACAACTGTCAGGGAGTGAGAAGTGCCTCTCATCTGACCCTTTATGCCTCTCATCTATGTGATGGGACAAGGCTCAAGTGTCAGCATCACTTTAAAGAATGAGATTTATATTTCTGCATCTATCAAGGGGTTTTGCAAATGTCGTCAGAGATCCTTCCTTCAAACCTTAGACAGTGTAGAGAAAAATCGCTTTCAAACGATCATTGCGTATTTGGGATTTGTGAACAGTTATTTCTGATCCTGGCATGGTGATCTGATCAAAGTAAGGTTAGAGATGGACCGAAATCTGAACTTTTGCCCAGTTAGCCTTCACTACAGTCTCTCAAATCCATTTATGATTACTGAGCACTGTCAGACCCACATGCTGAAAAAAGCCGGTAACTACTAAATTTTCACACAGGATGCCTATAGTTCTCATACCTAACATTATTTCACAGGCTTAGTAGTCCCAGAAATTTACTTTTTGCCAGGTACTTACAGCTTCATAGTCTGCTAGCTCTAGTCTCGCTTTGTTTTGCATTGTCCGCTTGCAGAGGTAAACAGCTGGAACAGAATAAAATAACACAATTTGCTACTATCTCACAAACACAGCACATCAGAAATCTAGAGGCTTCATCTCTACTTTACAGCTACCTTTTTTTGCTTTGATTTTTACCTCTATTCTAAAAAGCTTTAAATATGGGGTCAATACTACTAGCATTGTAACTGAAATGATGGGTCAGATACAGAGGTTCATTAAATAATAATAAAATCTGCTTTATGCAGCAGACATCATATGCAAAATGCATGAGATACTTGAGGTCAGGTCTTTTTAATGGCCAGGAAACTAGCACATTAAAAATAATGGCAAAAACGTTTTTCAAACTGTGTGCATATTAATCTGTGTGTGTATAAATCATGAAGTATAAGAGTTGTAGCAGGAGCTGCTGCTGTATTAGTCAAACAGATTTTTAAGGACATGGACACATGGTTTTATTTATTTTTACTCTATATTTAGAAATCACAAACTTTCAACCTAAGAAGATTTTCGCTAAGAAGTAATTCCAGATAAAATTCATGTCTCATACAGATTAGTCTCCTAAAACAAAAATTTAAAACAGAAAATAATGTGAAACTAAAAAATGGGGAAAAAAGCGTACATATGGATATGAGAAAAAATATTCTTTCATTTAGTTTCTAAATCCAGAATTCTTCAGCAGACCTGTTCTGCCTCCACCTCTTTCAGAGCCAAATCTTTGCTAATAGAATGCTGAAGTACATTTGTAATAGATTTTATTTAGCACAATTACTTCACAACAAATCCAAATATTTTACAGCTTCCCCCACCAGTAAGACAATGAGTGCAGTATAATTCCTTATTGTGCAATATTTACCTACTTCATTAGTTCAGAGCACCTTCTCATGTGTGAGATGGAGGAATCTTTTTGTCAGTGTAGGTAAGAAAACCTTATCTGTTGTCTCTGTGATCAGCAAAAAGAGCTCATATTTACTGGTTGTTGTTAGGAATGTTTCTGCTTCCTGGCTGCCAACCAAGAACTTCACATAGGAACCCAACTCGTGTGATCACTGGGAAGAAGGAAGTGCTCATTTTAGGTAGTACAGTGGTTCTGTACTACCTAAGATACAGAGATTCTTGATGAGACAGATGGTCTTTCTCATTGATCTCTTTTTACAGTGAAACCTTTTCCTCTTTTCCTTAAAAACTGATTATTTTATTAAACAAGACAAAAGAACTCCTAACTCCTAGAAAATATTAGCAATAAAATACACACTTAATATAAATGTGTAGAAAGTTCTGAGAATTTCAGGGATCAAATTTTTTCTAGTCCAATCTGAACACAAATAAAACAAGTTCCCTGATCCTGCACTTGATTAAGCCCTTGTAAACCACATTCCCATGGTCCCAGTACAGACACCTTTAGTTAGCTTAGCACTTCCTTGAGTCCCGTTGTGGGCATATTTTAGGATTAGCATTTCCTGCTACCTGCAACAAAAATCATTGCTGCAGAGGTGTCTGACTGTCCATCTTTCTGTCAGGATAGGTTTTTAACAAAAAAACATCTTCAGATAACAGTGTTTAAACACTTGTGAAACAATTATCAGGTCACCAGGTGCAGGAGCAGTGAATTAGTTTGCCACACTAATAACTTAATACTGTGTCTATAAAACCTCTTTTCTTCACTGTGTAACTCTACTGCAGAATTTCCCCTGCATAGTTCTTTCAACAACCTTCTTTGCTCCCAATCAATAGCAAATAGTCTATATAAGAATGTTTGGTTTTCATTATGAGCATGACTTAGCCAAGACTAAAAAAAACATTTTCATCCCTCATACCTTTCTTTTTTTTATAGAAATATCCACATACCCTCCCCCCAGAAGCCTGAAGGTTGTAATACCTGTGGCTTGGATTCCTTATGTCAGAAATTTCTATGTGCCAGTGCAGATAATGCAGAATATTTCCAAGAAAGATACAGTATTTTGGGAAGTACAATATATCCAGTCGTGTAGAAAAAAATAGTGCTGAAGGACATTCCTATTCTGACTCAATTTCCTGCCATTGCTATGTGCTAATAACTACATCCTTATAAAAGTGCATTTTTGAGGCTCTATTTCAGAGCTAGTGGTAATGACACAAGAAGCTGGCAGAAGCTCAGGTATTTGAGTTCACCAGTTTACACTCTCGTTATCATATTCTTTGGCTTGTCTGTAATGAAGTTCACTAACATGTTGGAAAGCAAGAAGAATGTGAAATTCACCCTCATTTTCAGCCAGATCATTTGAAGATAAGGAGTAATGAGGCTTTGTTCTTCTGACTTTTAGGGCAATGATATTTGAAATATGGATACTCTAATCTTTCACAGGTACCACACATTGTGTGTGAAGCAACTGCAAGTGTCCTATAGCCTGACTTTGAGCACAGGGAGGATGTCAGCCAGTTTCCCTCTGAAAGTACTCATGACCCCCCAGAATTTCCATGAATGACAGTGTCTGCTTTTCTAATCTCCTGGTTTGCATGTGTTGACTGTGTTTTTATAGCTTCATACAGAAGTACAATCTGCAGGAAGGGTCTCCAATTAAAATTTCTCTATTTCTATATATAGTTCTTTATTTATCTACCCCCCCAAAAGTCCTGGTCAGGGCTATTAGTACATCAAGAAGCTGTAATTGCCCTGAGCAGCCCATCCAGGGGCTCCACTGAGTCTCCCTACACCCAGGAACTGTGCTGAAACCCAGCTACTTCCTTGGCACTGGTTTGAGCTATGTTGTAGATATGTCTCTAACCAGCCCTGTAACGTACCAACACTGCCCTGGCTTCCTAACTTGACCTTGGGCCTTCCTGCTCAGTTGAGATTTTGTCAGTGAGGACCTTGTTCCTGCCTGCACTGTTGCCAACTTCAGTTCTTGCTTACCTTCCATTACAGAGCTGCCCACTCTTGCCATTCCCTGACAAGGGTGCTGAAAAATGCTTATCATGTGGATGAATGATATGCAAGGAACAGGGGCTGATTAATAACCTCAATTTGCTAAATATGGACTGCCATATACACTCTTATTTTTAGAGCCAGTGTATTCTGATGGATTTTGCAATCAACAAAATTGCCTCTACTAAAGTGAATTCTATATTAGATGCTATAGCTTGTGCTTTAGAAGTGACTGATTACCATAAGAAAACAGATTTGCCAATAATTTTAAAGGCCATATTAACATGTAACATTTCATAATGAAGGATAGTCAATGATATTTATAAATGGGTATTTGAACAACAAACCACTACTAAAACACACTTTGGTAGCTGTGCAGTAAATACAGACTACTTGCTCTTGAAAATTCTTTGCAGGCATTCAGAAAACGTGGGCAATGTGAGAGCTCCAAGTGAGACTGCAAAGTGTTTTAGTAAAAGTTGCGTGAAGAGGGTGTCTGGATTTTCCCTCTTGCGAGTTTTTAAACTGTTACACCCATCCCCCCCACATTTTCATGGTTAACTGCCTTTGCTTCCATTTCTTGACTGTTCACTTGCACTTGAAATCTCCTAAGAAACCTCTATAGATTTTTGTCTTTAAAGAAGATCATAGAGATTATGACTGGTGTCTCATAATAGACTCAAGAAACTTGACTGAGTACACATTATATTACACACACTTATTAAAGAAACCCCAGAACTTTCACCCAAAATTTACACTGGGAAATCTTATCTTGTTGCTAAACAGGGGCTAAATCTTTCCTCTCACCACAGAGGAGAAAAAGCCATAGCTGAATTCAATGGAAGTACAACTGGGCTTCTGAAGACCACAGATTATGCCACCTACACACCCACCATCATGTACACAAACCTGAACTCCTTACATAATTGTCCCAGTGCCAGTGATGTTACAGCTTGATTCAGCCCCAGATGGTGGGTGTGCTTTCCGTGAACACTCATTATCTCCACTGAGGCCAGATTAAATTTATATTCTCTCTGTGAGTCAAAATTCTGATTTCAGAGTCAATATGTACAAGCCTAGTCTGTATCTAAAGAGCAAAGAAAATATAAACGACTGTGAGGTCAAAAGGTTTCAAAGTGCATTGTGGGCTGACAGTTCTCCCCCCATATACAAGTGCCTGCGTCAGATGGAGAATTACAGGACAATCAGCACAAAACATGACCACAGGATGGAAAGCATGAAATGAACTAACTTATTTAAACATTGGGATTTCTAGGACTATTTATATCATCTTTAGGTCACCACTGCTTTTACTCAATAGGAAAAAATAATTTTTGCTCTTTACAACAGCTATTGCATTCCACTTAGTCTTAAAAAAACTATGACAACACTGGGGTGGACAAATAGGTCACCAATCAGCCTCGTGTATCTATTAAAGAACTACAGTCTTTAGTAAATGCTAATAACATTAAGTTAGAAGAAAGGCCATGATAGCGTATGTGCACTAAATTGCTAAATGATGAAAAACATAACTTCTAAAACACTCTTCCCTTTCTCTGCTTTTTACTCTTTGATCATACTTATTCCTATTATACTTAAGGAAAACAATTTGATTATAGAATTACTTAAGCAGAGGACTTTCTTACATAAACCAAGGGCAAGAAAGAAACCAAATTTCAAACTACCAAAGAGCTCAAGAATTAGAAAAGGCAAATTCATCTTCAACACACATAAGTTCCCAAATGACAATGGCCTGGGAGAATTCTGCAGGATGACAAAAACAGGTATGGAAGAAAGGTCACCCAAGCTCCATGAGTTATAGCATCAGATAAACAATATCCAGTTGTCGAACATAATTTAAAATTGTATCCAATTAATTATTTCATGCTTCTTGCTATTATCATAATGCTTTCAATTTGCCATTAGGATTACAGTTTCAGTGAGCCAGAAAGTCTACAGCTCCAGGGACACAGAAAAGACATGCAAAGTAGAGCATGTCAGGGCACCAACATTGCTGCCTCCACACCCTTCTAATCTGTTCCACCCATGGTATGGGGACCTCAGTCTCAGCACCAAGATTCCATTAAGGTTAGGGTTAGGGTTCAAAGAGCCACAGAGCCT